TATCGTATTTAGTTGGCGGTATAGCAGCGGAATTATGCTGCAGCAGTAGGTGTTTAGCGGCAGTCAGGCAATAACGGCCTGCTTTCGGGACTGCCCTTCAGATGCTGTGCAGTGATACCACACTTCAATCTGTTGGTTCAGTGTCTTTCACCTCATCATATCCTGCTGTAGACTTTGGGTTTAACCAGAGAGAGGTGGAGTGCATTGATGGTTCTGTTCCCACAGGCAAAGTAAATTTGTTGTTCCCCACAGAAGAGAGAACTACGTGGCTAACCTTTTCACATTTGCCTACCTGTATCTAGGCACCTGAGTCCTGAAGCATCCTTAAAAAAACAGGCTGCTTCCCTGGATACCAGTGCCTGGAGGATTTATTTTTCCTTTTACAGAAGTCCAGAGATTTCATGTGCCACACAGCTTGGGTTGAAAACACCAGTTCCCAGGAACAGCTCCCTGCTTGAAACCAGTGTTAGCAGTTAGCAGTGGTGTGGAAGTCAAAGTGCTTGCATCTACAGAGTTAAACTGACAAAACAGTTCAACACTGCAGCACTGATATTAGGGGGAAAATCATATCTCAGACAACAGGTTTCTCAGCAGCATAAAAAAATATCTGTTTTAGTTACAATTGCACCAGAGGAATATATTGAAGAACTGGAAATGATTCAGAAAAGAGTTAAAAGAACAGTTTGAGTTCTGGGAAACTTGCCTTGGTTAGACTGAAAAAGCTCAATGTATTTAATTTATCAAAGAGAAAATTAAGAAGTGATTTGATCAGTACCTACATGGGGAAAAGATTTCAGATATTAGAAGGCTCTTTAATCTGGCAGAGAAAAAGGTATAATAAGATCCAGTGGTTGGAAGCTGAAGTTAAACTGATTCAAATGGCAAACAAGGAACATGCTTTGACAATGAGGGTAATTAACCATTGGCACAGCTTACTGTGGAATGTGACAGTTCCTCCATCACTGGAAATCTTTCCATCTAGATGGGATGTATTTCTAAAATACATTGTCTAGTTCTGTTGGAAATGAAGCAAGAATTACTGGATAAAATTCTGTGTCCTGTGGTGTTACCATGAAAAAGATCCCTTCTTACCTAAAAATCTATGCAGACTAGATATTGTTCTAAAACAGGTGCATTCTGGTTGTTTACTTGCTTCTAACTCTTGGGTTCTAGGGAGTCCATTCAAAAATGTTTCAAATAATTCTCGTTTCACTTAATTCATCTTTTTGATATTGGAATGCCGCATAAGGCACAAACCAGTGAATGATATTAGATTCTGAGCTTGTGAGGTGCTACTTCAACTCCTTGCAACTTAGCGGGGAGTTTTGGGCAGTCAGTTTTACAGGGCCAGCCACCAGCAAAATGTGAAGGGTCAGGGTAGGGAGTAATGAGAAATTGCTGTCTCCTGTTAAGTGTAACGATTAAAGGAGAAGTGGGACTTTGCAGGACTGTAGCAATAACAGTGCCACAAGGAATGAAATGTGTTCTATTTTCTGCAACCTGAAGGAAAAGCAAAGCCCATCTAGGATACCCTGAAAAGACTCTTTTGGTTGACTGTGAGAGATGAGTTTGCTGCTACCTATCCCCCTTCCTTTCTAGTGTTTTCTGAATTGTTCATAAAATTGCTGTAAACAGCGCATTTCGAGAGATGGTATAGTGTCTTGCTTGAGGGCCTCATTAACCATGCTTAGGCTCAGATTCAAAGAGAGGGTACAATATGTTTTTTGCATCGGGCATTATTAGCAGAACATATGTGCACTAGGCTCACCTCGTACGCAGCGATTTGTCTGCATAAGGTACTTTTCCCCTCACTTTGGTGCAGATAAAATGCCTGTGGATGAAGCAGTGGGCCATTTTGTGTTGGCACAAATCTGATTCAGGTTCTTTTCCCTGTAGTGCAGAGTCTACTCAGTCATGTCTCTCCTTCATAGTTAAGTCTCACAGGTCATTCTAGATAAGTGCAGAACACGCATCATTGACACTAGATTTAGCAACACTGACACTAGATTTAGCGCGTGCACCTCAGGTGGAACAAATGTCTGAAATTTGTAATGTAGTTGTCTACACCAGAGAAACCACTCCCACAGGTGGCAGCCCTCACTGCCCTTATTGTCAGCCTCACTAACGAGGGCAAATTGAGTAGCCAATGAGACTGAACAGCCTTGGTTCCTAATTGCATCCTTCACATTCAAGATTGCAATACACTGGTGGAGGAATTGACTTGTAAAGGGCAGAAAATTCCTGTGGCTTACACCTCTCCTTGTGAAACTGAGAGAGAGGAGGGTTAAACAGCCTATAAATTAGGGCTTTGGTAAAGAGGGAAATCAGTAATTACCTCTGTAGGGGCTGAATGATTTGAGTTACATTTTACAGGTAACGTGTGGTCTGAGTATGCCCTTGTTGTATTAGCAATAGAACCACACATTAGTTTTAAGACTCCCTCTCGAATAGGGATATTGTAATGTTTTTTAATTGGGGCTGATAAAAACGTAGCATTGCTTGTAGGTTCCTTAGAGAAGCCAGTTGTGAAATTGGGTTTGTATTAAACCTAATGATGGAAAATTAAGCATAGTACATCTGTCGGAAATGGTCTGCGATAAAAACCGTCTCCTCTCCATTACAGGAGGTTAATAGGGAATAGGTGAGGAAAGATGCATTGGGAAAGTGAATCCAACTAGGAGAATTAATAAGCCTTGAAATTCCCTCTGTTCAGAGTTTTCACATTGTTATTAGTAGCAGCATTAGGATTATTATACAAGTGCTTAGAATGTTACTCTTCCTTAAATTCCAGATTTATTATCTATTTTATGGGAAGGTGGTTCTGCTAAAGCCAATCTTGTGCTTATTTTCCTATGCCCCGTGAATGCTGCTGTTTTCATGCTAGTCTGGATTCTGAAAAATATCTTTAATTTCAGTAGGTAGGTTTTCAGAGCAGCCGATCTCCAGTAACTCCAATAAATCTTGGAAGAAGTGGCAGGTACTCACCATCTCTGATAATCAGAGCTTAAGCTCTTTCTTATGTCACCAGAGCTTAATGCAGGCCTGCCTTATTGATGATAAAGTGTCCCCTGCTACCATTTCTTTATCTTTCTAATATTCCTATGACTTCTGAGCAAAGCAAATTCTCACGAATGCCTGTCCTGATACTTCCCTTCTAATCTATCATTAAGGCTTCTAAGAGATGGTTTCCCATGTGGAAACATGTTCTAAGGCCCTGCTCCATCTGTTCTTATCTAACTTTCCAACCTCAGGGATGGCATAGGTCCTAAATGCTTGTGGCCAAACTCCAGAGTGTTTTCTGCAGGAGCAGAATTAGTCACTCTCATGCCCTTGCCAAATTTCAGCATTGGCAGCTGAAACTTCCCCTGAGGTTTCAGCTGTATTTTTTTTTCTTCTTTCTCCTTTCTAAAATGCTTTAATAATGTGCTGATGTAGAATCGTTTCTAGTGTCTGTCCCTTTCCAGTTTTAGGCAAGTGAATTCTCTGTATCCAATCTACATACATTTTGAGATCTGCTGATCGAAATAAGCTATATATTGTATTTATTAATCTCATGGGAATGGGTAGGAATGATAGTAATAACTCATGCAAAATACTAGGACCCTTATCTGTAAACCTACCCTGAAATTCATAGGTTTGTGGACCTGGGCCCGTTGCTTGCATTCAGTCAACTCAGCTGGATAAGAAACAAAAACTGGAAACTAGGTGCTGCATCTGATTTGAGCTTCTCTGGTTAAATATAAAAAGGTTGGTAGGCAATTGTCATTTGATGGAAGTATTCTCTGTTTCCTTATCAACTAGGAGTATTTTGTCATAGAGTTAGAGTTTTGCCTGGGATATACAGTTCTGCAGTTTTTATCTGTCTTGTGATGGAGATTTTCTAATTCTTCTTTTTGAAAAACATTTTTCTGAGAAATTTACATGTTTGTGAGCAAGCTAGTAAGGATGTGTGAAGCGGGCCCTATTCAATTTGGATTCAGATTCAGCCCGAATCAGGGACAGCGATTCGATTAGTTGATTCAGATCACTGTCCCTGATTCGATTCGGCTGAATACAAATCTGAAGATTCGATGCTGATTTGGAGAATCAGTGATTTGGACGTAGAAAAAACATCTAAGGCTGTGTCTACATACCTTGAGGTAGTAGGCACGGCTTGTGAATGCTGAGATGCTGGGGTGGATGGAGTGTCCCACAGGAGTGCAGGGGGGCGCTCCACGTGCTCAGTAGTGAACCTAGAAGTGGACCAGAAGTACTTCCAGTTCACTTCTGGGTCTGCCAAGAAATGCTCTGCCCCTCCCCCCCACCTCCCCAGCTCAGCAATTTGGCTGTGGGGGGACCCCGGGTTCCCCTGCCAGACCCAGGAGGCACCAGTCACCAAGCTGGAGGGGCAGGAGGAAGCCCCTAGTACACTCCCCAGTGGACCTGAAAATGGACTGGAAGTGCTTCTGGTCCACTTCTGGGTCTGCTGCCAAGTGCACTGGGTGGCCCCCCATGCTTCTGTGGGATGCTCCATGCTCCCTAGTATCTCAGCACTCACAAGCCCCTGCTTCATAGAGGTATGTAGAAAACACATTTAAAGCTGTCTCTATCTCTGAACCTCTCTGGGCTCTCAAATTATGCAACCAAGTAAATCACTGAACCCTTAAAAAAATCTTGTGCATTTGTATGTGCAAAACAGTTTTGTGCTAGGTTAATTTATAAGTAAAGATAAATGATTTGGGGTGGAGTCACTTCATATACTTCACAACAGTATTATACATTATTTCATGCTATATGGTATGCGTTTGTCCTTTGTGTTATTTTTACACTAAAAATATTTGCATGTGTTTTAGTTTTTCTGGGTTGACTTTGGGCATGTGGGTTTTTTGCTACTTATTTCTGTGCTTTATTTCACCCACACTAACCTATAGGGGAGAAAATAAACAATCAAATGGAACAGGAATGAGACTGGAAATAACAGATAGGTGAAAGCTTGTTTTGCCTCCCTGTCTTTAAAACAGACAGTAGCCATGGGGAGATGACCCAGCCGACTCTGACTATCCAGACCCATCCATACCGAAGCTGTGAGCCAGTGGAAATGTCCTACCCCAGGGGGCAGTTCCAGCCAGCTATCCGAGTGGCCGACTTGCTACAGCACATCACCCAGATGAAACGAGGACAGGGCTATGGATTTAAAGAGGAGTATGAGGTGAGAGGAACGTTTGCTTACATGAATAAATAGAGAAGTGGCAGTAACAAATCTCAAGAAAGGATACAAGCTTGGGAGGAAAGAATAATTACTTCTAACAGGATCTTTTTCTTAATTCAGTCAACTGTAATCCTTTTCTTCTTTTTGTATTTGAAACTAAGATTATAACCCTAAATCCTTGCCTTGTGTTATGTCTCAAGTCCACCTCTTCTATAGTGACAACCATTTCTAAACACTGTCTACTTCCTGGAATTATAACACTGCTGAAAGAGATGGAGGATACATACAATTCTATTAGGTCCTCTCCTTTGCAAATGTGGCATATAATTGATAGCCCTGGTGATACCTCTTATTGTCCCCTTGCCATAGAGAGGGATAGTAGTGATTTTAACATGCACTGAACTCAATGGAAAAATTGGAGCTCTCTGGTTTCATTCTCACTGGTGTGACAAAACTAAAATGCAAGCCATGCTTTGATAAGCAAAGCAAGCTTTTTTGCTTCTGCTTTCTTCCCAGTTGCAGCTGCAAATTCGTTGTGGCCACTGATCATCTTAAAGAGCAACTTAACAAGGTCTATGCAGAACATAAACACAAAGCCCTGGATACCCCTGGTGGCTTTAATAATTTTTGAACCTCCACTTCAGAATATCTGAAAGCCAATCTTCTGTTCCAACTGGCTGTGAAGTGAGAGACATAAAACGGTTGTTAAAAAGGGCAACAAATCCAAGATGTGGTAAGAATCAGGAACTTAATATAAACAAGTGGAATGGAAGAAACGAGGAAGAAGTTTGAAAGACAACTGTACCAAGATGTGGGAGGGAGCAAGAGAAGTAAATAGCATAAAGAGTCTATGAAATTCTGCTCTGGCAAGCAATACCTGTAATGAATTAAATAAGCTTGGGGGGAGGCCAAAAGGTAATATGTTATAGTTCCATTAAAAGAACTTTAAAATAGCATAACACCTGGGAGAAATATGTTACTTAATGAAAACAACTCATTTTTTCCCAGTACTGTAATTAAACTTCCATGGGGGTGTTTATCACTTCTGCTAGTTTGTCATTATAGAATGGGAAATGCCTTTCCTAGTTAATCTGGTCATAGAATATTGTGTTTGATCAGATGGCATAAAGGACTCAGTGGGACAAATATTCCCTATTACTGAATGCAACAGAGATGAGTCCACTCACTCATATCCCCACAAGTCCGTGCTCCAGTGGAACTACTAAAGCATGGATTTTGTTTAATATTGAAACAACTGGTCTGTTCTCTTATTGCAGTGGTTCTCAACATTGTTAGACTCAAAAAAAAAATGCCAGCCCTTAGCTGTTACACATGTTTTGGCTATCAAGAAATAATAAAGTAATTCTTCTCTTGCAGAAAGAGAATTCAGAATGACCGCAACCAGTCAGATTGTTTTTGACACTATGGATTCCTATTCGAAATATCAGTTTATCTTATGAATCATGTGTTTATCTTATGTATCGTGTGCATCTTATGGATCATATTTGCAAACATGTAAGTGTTAATATTGAGTGGCAACCCTTGGCATCAAGTTATGTGACACCCAGATTGAGAATCATTGCTTTACTGGTATGAAGAACTTATACTCAAGTCACGCCATGCCTACATGAACAGTAATTAAAATGGTATGTAACACTTGCAGGTACTGCAAAGACTTAGGTTTTGATGTTAAGAGAGAAAATAAACAGGTGCTAAAGCACTGATTCTTAACAGGGGTGTCACTCAATATTAGCACTATTCAGTGTGCAAGCTTCTATGCATGATTCATAAGGTAAATTCAGAGACTGCAAATAGACCTGCTGTGGTCTTTGCAACACAAAAACTACCCTATTATTTTTCTGTAGTCAAAAAAAAAAAAGTGACAGCCAAGGGTTGCCCCGAGTCTAAAAAGGCTGAGAGAGGAAGACAAAACCCTAATGAAAGGAGTCCATTCAGTGCTTATTTTACTTTTGTTAATGAT